AGGGGCAGCCTGGGGGGGAGCAGCTTCCCTCAGGAGCACTTGGCAGTGCCAGATGCTGTTGGATGGCTCAGAGGCACTGGCAGGCAAAGGGAGGACTCAGAAAAAGAAATAGATATTATTTCTGAAGAGTCCTGGAAGAACAAGGGGGAGGGCCCAGCCCCGCAGGCTGCAGAGCTGTGTTCTCCCCGGGACTGTCCGTGTTTAAATGCCAGCACCAAAAAACATGGAGAGGGTTTTACACAGAGGCGGTAACCGCACTCACTCTGCAGAACCACCGCTCACATGCTTCCAGACATGCTCCAGCCGTGACAAGCAACCACGCATGAACAAGCAACCTTCACATGAAGGGACACCTCTACACCTCCAACAGGGCTTGAGCTGGCTGTCACACCACAGCCGCTCATGAACAGGGCAGCAGTAACACGTTTGTGGTGTAACAGACCAGCCATTTGCCTAATCAAATGAGATCTCAAAGGGTTGATACGAGGCAGATATCAAATTTCTTCTGCTGTCCTCCATTAATACTTTCAACCTACCAGACCCACGTTACCCCAGATAATTTTCCTGCCAGAGACACCCCAAGCACGACAAATCCATTCCTGAAGCAGCTCCAGCCCCACAGCCCCTCCCGGGGCAGGAGGTGTCAGACCTCGGGTCAGGAAAAAGCCAAGAGGTCAACAGCCCATCCAGCAAAAGCAAGTAGAAACATCACCGAGAACATGGGAGAGCTCCAAGAGAGCTAACAAGCACAGAGGCGACCTGTCTTGGAAGCACAGGGAACTGGGGTGCACTGGGAGTCGCTCTCTGCTTTTAACACGGGGCAAAAACCAGTTTAACCTTTAAATTCTAACCACAAGCTCCCACCCTGCAGAACGAAGCCAAGCACAGCAGAGAAGTGTGGAAGCCCCCAGTTTGCCACTGTAACACCATTGTCATCGTTTTATTGTGTTGTGCCAGGGTTCAAAACGCCCGGGAGGAGGAGGGGGATACAATAAGAGTATAAATACGGACAAACCCCACGTGCTCGCCGCACTACCTGCCAGCGGTGCAGAGGGCTCCGCTCAGCGCGGCTTCCAAGCGGAAGGATGAGGCGAGCCTAAGGGGATCAGCGCTGTGAGGGAAACGTTGGGGCACGGCCTCTCACGGGAGGTGGCCACTGCCGAGGCCAAGATTTGACTCTAATTAAACAAGGCCAGTGGTGGCCTGTGAGGCCTCGAAATGACCATCTGGTCAACGGCCCGTTAATTAAGCGAGAAATCGACTCTTTTTCACTTTGCACGCTGGAGGAGATGCCAGCCCCTGTCGCAACGCAGAGAGGGAGAGGGGTGTCAGTGGTTGTGGGGTCTGCCCCGGCCCCGGCCACTGGGTGCGGCGTCCGCGGTGGAACGAGGGGTCTTGATGGGTTCGTCCACGGAGACGA